CTGTGGTACTGATAACAGTTTCTGATTTGTACGACCCCGGCCTTTTGGGAACTAACGCTGTACAGGAGCCGCGGTGTGTCTGCCCGAGGTGCAAGTAGGGATGAAGCACCGCCGAGGCCGCTTCCCCTTCGTTGCTTTCCTACTCCGAAGCGTCTCTGGGTTGGTTATATGTGGTGAGGCTGGAAGGGGGGAGGTTTGGCGCGCGCACTTTTCCGTGTGCTTTATGAGCAAAGAAACAGGGCCCCCCCCCCCCCCCCAGGCTGTGTGAAGGATTAAGCAGCAGAAAAGAGCCTTCAGGAATACCTGAAGGGCAGGGAGGGCATTGCGAGCTGCTTGGCGCAGCAACCAGCTGCCTGGCTCCCTCTGTGGGTGGCTGCGTTGCATCTCTAATCCCACCAGCTAGGTTCGTACTGCTTACATTGAAGCAGTGGCCAAAGCCAGTGGGACGCATATGTGTTTTGTTTGCTTTGCAGCTGCAGTTTGATCAAATATGCCCATTTTAGAGCATGTGATTCGTTTAGGGTAAGTGCTTTTAATGTTTGCAGGCAAGTCAAACATGTTAATGGTAGTAAAACAGAGTCCTCTGATGTCTAGTGTTCTAAAACAAAGGAAAACCATTGGAAAACTCCTTTCCATCTCCAAAAATGAATGCAAAGTCTTTTGCTTCCTCCTTGTTGTTAATACAGATAGAAGTGTGGATGAATTATTACTCTCCCAGCACTAGTGTAAGTTAGAAGTAATAGTAAACAATTTATACAAAGAATATATTTCAGTTTTGTCAGTGCTTTTTGAGATATGCTTTACTGTATTGAATACAAACAATTCTATATCGGAAAGAATCAAGACACATCAGGAAGGAAGAGAAGAAAATGTGTTCAGATAAGACTGTTGAAATTATATAAAAGAGAGAGACAGACTGAGCTGGATGTCGTTAGCAGGCCAGAGGAAGGTTCTTGCATAATAAATAACTGATAGTTATGTTAGGGGGTAGCATGAAAGATACAGTTACTAGATTAGAGCATTGTTTCTCAAAGTGGTCCCCAAAACCACTTTGAGAGAGCTGTTAACTGGCTGCTCCAGTGTGTTTACTTACT